CTTTATGGCGAATGTTCGCCTTTGAGACCTGGGTTTTCTGAATGTCTATTCTTCACCTCTTTCGTTTAAGGAGGCCTTATGTGGGGTTTCTTCCTCTTCTTTTTCTGATTTGTGTGTTTCTTCTCACCAGGGTTTACCGGCATTGTTGATTTCTGAGGAAGAGATTTGTTCGCTTGGTGCCCCTTTCGTGTTTTCTTTGGTTGGTCGGTTTCCGGGTAATCAGCCTCCGATCGATGCCATTCAATTTTTTTTTTTTAATTTGAAGCTTATAGGTGAGTGTTCGGTTACGGTTCTTAATCCCATGAATGTATTGATTAAGCTCGTGAACAACTTTGATTATTGTATGATTTTCTCTAATAGATCTTATTTCGTGAATAATTGCTATGTGAAAGTGGCGAAATGGTCCACTAATTTTGGATGTAGAGGTTGATTCTCCGATTGTTCCTATCTGGGTTTCGTTCCCTCACCTCAGATCCCATCTTTTCTTTCTTAGGATCCTTTTGGGTTGGGTTCTCTCTTTGGCCACACGCTCAAAATCGGACACAACTACTGCTTCAGGGTCTCGTCCTTTGGTGACTCGCATTCTAGTTGAATTAGATGTAACAAAAAAATTCCCTAATAAGATTTGGGTTGGTTCAACGAAAACAGGTTATGTTGAAACTATTGTTTTCGATGATTTACCCCATTTCTGTTTACACTGTAATTCGTTAGGACATTTAAAGGATGTTTGCCATATTTTGCGTCCCATTCTTAATGTTTCTAAACCTGTGGCTGCTCCATGTGCGATGTCTTGATTGAATGTGATTGATGATGGCTCTAATGATGCTCTTAACCCGTCTGCCATTCTAGTTCCCCAATATGTTGAAAATGTGGTATTTCTGACGGAGAATATTGTGCTGGGTGGTGATGTCGATAGTCCTGTCGATGCTGCTACTGTTTTGTCCCTTGATGCCTTACATTTGTTCCACTGGTTATTAAATTGGGTTTTCTGGTTCCTAATTCTGCTACCCTTTTGCCTCTTAAGTCGATGAATGGTTTAAATCCAATTGATGAGGATGTTGTAGTTGTGTCCTCTGTGAAACTTTGTGAGGATGTTGTAGTTGGGGTTTTACCTTTTATGTTATCCCCTCGGGCTTGTAATAGTGCTGATGGTCATCTTGGTTGTGCTTTAAATTCTGGTCCCATGTTTTCAGTGGTGTCTGCCCTAGGCGTTTTGGCTGGTAATTCAAAGACTCTTGAGGTTGTGGAAGGCCCGATTGGGTCTGGTCCTGCTAGTGGTATTTTGGGTGGGGATGTGTGTGAGGGTTCTGCTAGTTCGATCTCTAAGTCTTGTGCCCCCTCCATTTCATCCCCTGGTTTGAATGCCGGTTTAGTTCATAATTTATTTGTGGATGTTCCATTTAATTGAATTGACCTTCAAGCCTTGATGTATCATGTGGGGGACAATTCTGGGTTGGATGTGCGAGTGCATCTTGATTGGCTTCATTGTTCGTCTGATTCTGATTCTGTTTCCTCTTCAGACTCTTTTGGGGTTAATGATCTTGGAAATTCTTTTGCTCTGTTGCGTGACACAATGGTTGTTTATGTTGCATCTCGTGGAAGGGCTCGTGGGAGGGGCAGACGTGGAAGGTGATGGGTGGTGCTGGTGTTTTCCTTTTCCTGGTTTATTTGTTGGTTTCCTTCTGCTTGGCAGTTCTTGATACATTGTGCTTTTCTTTTGGAGTTCTCCTACTTATATTTTCTATTGGCCGGGCAATGATGTGGTTGGGGCTCGTTTTTCTGTGGGCTTGACTCGTGGCAACCTTTGGTGGAGATCTTTTGCTCGGTTGGGTTGGCTGCTTCGCGTTGTCTCTTTATCAAATTGGACGGTCTGAGTTTGCTTATGGGAAGCTGGTAGTCTCGGCCAAATATTGAGCCCTCGGGATTGGATTTCCCCTGTATTTTCCTTTGCTTTATTGGAATTTTACTTCTTTGCTCATTTACTCTTTTTTGGTATTAATATATGTTTTATTTGATATATATATATTGCAAGCCATCATTTAGATTTTTACCACAATTTTTAGCTAACTATGGGGTAAACTTTGAGCATCATACTAGACTTGACCAGATGATGCCAAAACTTTCAAATTCAATCAGACTTCCGACATCAGCCCACAGAAAACTTATAGATGATAATGACCATTATTAACACTCAATAATACTCACTAATTAAATCAATTTATTATCTTAATCATAATCACCACATGAAACTTGTTTTTCATCTATTAAATATAGGGTTGGTAACAATTAAGCATCATGTTTACATTAAATATTTTTTAATCCTTTGTGTATACATAGTTAGCATAAGATGATTAATAAAAATAAAAGGCTAGTAAACTTGTCATTGAAGGCTTACACATAAAAGTGTAACTTTCTTTGACATTGACATTTATATAATAAATGTTACTAATCTGTCCATTCCTCAGCTCATTGATGGGCCCTTAGCCTATAAGCTCCAAAATAGTACATTGGCTCCATCCAATCTATGCATGCATCCACTATCAATAATCAGTAGTTATTTAATATTTTATATTTTAAATTTTTTTATTACCGTTGGAAAATGGTCATCTTGTCAGAGCATTGTTTCATACTTTCATACTCTAACTTTGGTGGGGCCCATCCCAAAAACTTTGGTGGGGCCCATCCCACGGAGAGGGACAGCCATCTTCTCGCAGATAGCTTTATCTTCATGACTTGGCTAAGCTGACGTAAAAAGGGTTGCCTTTTGCTAATTATGTATGATTATAATTATAATTAGCATTAGATTATGGGGTTAGCGAATGATTAGTTGTGGAAATTATCCTAATACAACTCTCCTTGGCTATTGGTTGAGAGCTTAGGCTTCCAACTAAGAGGTCCAAGATTCGAGTCCATGTGTATGTGTTGTATGTGTGAGTTTGCCTTAAATGACCTAAATATCCCAAAAAAAAAAAAATTATCTTAATAGGGCCCTGTGAGTTTTCATTTGCTTTGATTCAAATTTTCTCAAAGTAAAATTTTAAATGATTTAGGTTTCGTTTGGAACGGCTTTTTATTGCTTATTAATACAACTTTTTAATAAATTTTTTTTAATTTATATAAAAAAAATTACTTTAAGAAACAGTAAGAAAGTCATCCTAAAAAAAATCTTAATTATATGATTATATATTCAGGATATTATCTTCTTGTTACGTATGCATATTTTTTTCTTAATGACTTGTGTTTTCACATGAGAATATGATGATTTTATTTTATACAATAAAATAAAACAATTTAATAACTTTATTGTACTAAGCTAATCTTGAAATTTTGTTTTCTTTAATAAAAGTAAAATAACCTTATTTAATTCTTAATGTTGCTATTTAATTCTTGGAATAATAATTTGTAACTCGTGAGTGAATGAAAAAAAAATGATAAATTAAAAATTTTATTATCGATGTGATTATGGCTTCATTTGGGACAACTTTCTTACAACATTCTAAAACGGTTTTTAAGTATTTTTTTTAATTAAAAACTTTTGTGCTAAAAAGCTGCTTTATGAAGCTATAAAAAAGTTGTCCCAAAAGAGAAAAATTATTATGTGCTGAGTTCGGAATCCAATAAAATAAAAGACATGTGGCTTGTACATAGGGGATAAGGCAGGATCGATATAACAACCTAATTATAAAGATCATATAGATCACAACAATAAGGCATGCTAATAAACTAGAGAAGTCAACCACCTTCTCTATTAATTTTTTCTTGCATTTGGGTATGTTAAAAAACCCATTTAGGATATAAAAATATTTTATTTATTCAATTATTAATGATTATTTGCATGCACATGGGTCATTAATTTCATATTTGTATTCATGATTGATCTTCCTTACTTAAAAATGATGATTTTGAACCACATTGGACAATTGAATGAAAATATATAAATAGTAGATGGACTATTTTCACATGAAGGAAAATAGTGAAGTGAAGGCATCTGGGGACTGGGAGCATTCACAAGAACTTTCTTCAAATGTCCAGTGAGAAACCTGTAATAAAATTCTTAAGAATCATATTCGCATAAATATCCTTCAAGATCAGCACAAATTCTTGAGGCAATTTTCTTGCGATAGATTCTTTAGTGATAAAGGTTCCATTCATGGCCGAAAGGTGCCATTATAATAAGTTTTAAACCATCAATGGTCTATTTAAATGCGAGATTTCTGTTGAATTTTAAAGGGTTTTTTAGTTAATTAAATTGACTTAATTTGTTCGATATGCATAAAGTATTCTTTTTATAAAATGTTATCTATGCTCCACAATTTAATATGAAACTGAAAAACTTTGATTAATCTAAAATAATCAAAGTTTAGGGTTGATTTTAATATTTTGAAATTATAAAATAATCCTCATTTCTTTGGATGTATCATTTTTAATACATGTGATTAGTGATTAGTCAAATATGACGTGTTGTAGTGTTGTGGTATATTGGTAAATAATTAAACACATTATGTTGATGTGTTATTTACTTATTTATAAATTTGTTCCCCGTAAAAAATAAGGTTGGTTCCTCCCCTGCCTACAGTCCGGCAGATTTAACACATCACCACATGCGAGAGAATGAGAGAGCGAAGCGTCTTGGCCTCTTCGAGCGTCAAGTTCTCTGTCACGCCTAAATCCTGATTATATTGCCAAATAACTCCACATAATTTAACATAATTTAACATTTATATTCCCCAAAAATTAGCAATATGATTCATCTTAGAGCTCTTGAGGTACTGTAATCGGCCCAATTGTTTCTTCACTAGTGGTAGGCTTTCAAACCAGTCACATAAAAAATATTCATGCTATCTTTTTTGAGGCCAATTGTGTCTGGTCGCAAACATTGGAAAAATTATTAGGTGCGGAGTGCACATCGTCCTCACAAGTACTAAATACCTAGCGATACCCAACGATATTCAACGATACCGAGTACATATACGGCTAGATATCCAAAACTTCTCCGCACCTAATAATCTCTCCTATCATTGGAGCATGAAGTGAACCTACACCTCCTTTTGATTTTCTTTCTTTCGCCAAATTAGGAACCCTCACCACCCCGGCTCCTCTCATTACGACCGACCTCCTACCCCGCTGCGATCGACCTCAACAAACAGCGACCAAGCCATAGACTTCGAGACCAAACCATTGCCCCGTCACCTACCGCCTCCATGCTTGTATGTACCTCGCCTGTGTCGTTACTTTGCCTTTGTTTCAACTCACAACTTCACTTCAAGTCCTAACATTTCTAAGAGAGTTTTTAGGTCATATGCTGCTGTCATTTTTACAACTGAATGTATCAGCTTTTAGATTGCATTTCATTTCATCCATTTAGTTATTTGATTCAGTTGTGAAGAGGCATCTTGTGATAATTCCTCTTTCCAAATTTCTTATTGTCGATTTATAACTCCCATTTTGATCTAAGGTGTATTAGAAGAGGACATTAATTGATGGTTTTTGCACTCAGATTTTTATCCATTTGATTGATTTCTTTATTTTAGTTTCTTTACTTTGTTGGTGCCAACATCATAAGCAATCGATGAATCCGAGAGAAAACATCTTTAGAAGCCCATCTTTCTTAGCTTTAGAAGATATCATTTCTAACATGTTAGCTTAGTATTTCCCCTGTTTCTTCACTTAAATACATATTGTAAGCATTAGAGGAAGTCTTTTTAATTATATAACAGGATTGCAAATTTTATTGAATTACTGCTGGCAACTTCAGAAGCATATTTTCTATTGCTATATATATATGAAGTTTTAAGTACATGGTTCGGCTTTTGCTAGTGTATTTAGTCAATTGTGCAGAGAAGTAGGATATGTTGAATCCAAAAATGACCGTGAATCATAGTTAACTATACTGAGAATACCAAGTGAAAAGATAACTGGGAATAGAGAGAAAATGAAGAATGCTATACTATGAAGCTTTTGTGATTTCAAAAAAATGATTTTAAGTTTATAAAATTCAGTAAAACTAATCTCACCTCTGGACTCCCTATTTATAGATTGGGTTTGTAGCTTAAGCATTGTAGAATTAGCTGCATATATGACTTTAAGTAAATAAGAGAGAAAATATTAATCATGTGGCTTAGTCAAAAGGTCCAACCTAATGAAGCCATCCGTTGAGCCTTAAAGAAGTTATCAGTTGGTATATATTGATAACTGAGTAATCGATCAATAGTTTTCCTTGATAAGTCGTCCCTTCTTAAGTAGTTGCTAGGTCTGACTTCATAAATAAGAAGCTTTAGATTATGGTTGCCAGTTTGAGGCGAGTTTTCTTGTAGGCTAGTGAGTATTATTCCTAGTAAATCAAGTTAATCTTCCTTGAACTGGCTTGATATGGCTTAAACCTAATCAACTTATCTTGAACAAGATTTTCTAGATATTTTGATGTACATTAAGTTATGTTATAGCTTTGAAGGTTTATTGTAAAAAAAGAAGATTCTAAATAATATTTATACAAAGAATAGAAGTACTGTTGATAAGTAGCCATCAATCACCAACCGTTATCCTCTATGTAAACTGATGGATTGGCTTCTCTCTCTTTGAAGTATTCTAGCATATATTGAAGACCAAGGGAATCATTGAGCATTCGAGTTTAAAGATCCTGGATTGAAAAGAAACAAGTTCAACCATTTATAGCATCAGACGCTAAACTCCAAGACGAAAGTTTATACCTACCTTACTGTTACCTGAAACAAAAGGTGTTGTTTTGTCAGGGTGTATTTTATGTCAGATAGATAAATCAAACTCAAATAAATGAATTGAACCAAACTCCCGATTTTGGCAAAAATGTCCCCTGGAAATTCTGTAGATCCATTTGTGAATTGTGAGGATTGTCACTGACAAATGATGAAGTGTAGTGATTCAGGCTGATGAAGTTCAGTAACCCCTTAACTAGTTCTGATTGTTGTTGGGTGAATGATGGTAGCCTCACACAAGCATTTTTCTTCATAATCTCTTGGTAATCTCCAAACACCAAGAGTTTATGTATCCTTAGCTTGAAAATAGAGTTTGTTTCACTTTTTTAAAGGATGTGTTTGCATTTCTCGTTTGTGTACTTATAGCTTGCTGATGAACATATTAGCTAAGCACATATAATATTTTTTGGTAGCAATGTTGCTCAATTTTTTTAAAATCATTTTCAATCATGACGATATAAATTTTTGTAAGAACTCATCATGAAATAATGAAGTCTGGTACTCTTTGTGCAGCTTCAATGTCTGTTAAAGAGTAAACATTAAATCCGATCCAACCATTTTGATTAACCAGCAAAGTACATAGTTATCATTATTCTCTTAGTTTATCATGTTATGCTTCGCTTTATGAGCCATTTTGTTCTTTTGATAAGCATCAACAACTAGCGGAATATTGATTTAGTATTTTGTGGGCTCCAAAAATTCGGCCCCGGCCTCCACCCAACGCTGTGTGCTTTTTTTTGGCGAGGGAGTTTTAACGAACTAAGTTCCGGGGTAAATTTTGGGAAAGCAGATGGGTTTGTAGATAAGACACTACCCAGGGATTTCCCCCTCATTTTGCGAGGATTTTTGATATGAGTTCTGGTTTCCTATAGGCGCAAGCCCCTATAGTTAATTACCCTTCCTGATAACAAGAGAGAACTTTCGATTAAGGCTAGTCGTCAATTAAATACGTAGAATGTACGTGTTATCTGAACATTTGAAATTTGAATGGTTTGATATATTTAAAATAGAAAATTTCACCATCTTGCACTTAAAGCGGATGGTGGGGGAATGAATGATGGACCCGATCAAGATCACATGGTTCCGTCATCCCAGCCATCGTGGTCCCTGGTCTACTTAGTCAGAGGAGGTAGTCGACCCAAAATGTATGTGTTATCTGACATATAGTAGCAGTAATGAACATTTGAAATTTGAAGGGTTTGATATATTTAAAATAGAAAATTTCACCATCTTGCACTTAAAGCGGATGGTGGGGGAATGAATGATGGACCCGATCAAGATCACATGGTTCCGTCATCCCGGACCATCGTGGACCCTGGTCTACTTGGTCAGAGGAGGTAGTCGACCCAACCTGACAGAAGGATCATTATCGACAGCCATGGGTTGCTTCATCCAAGGGGCCCTTGTAGACCTGGGGTGAGTTTGTCTGAGAGGACAAATTTGAATCCACCTTAGCTAACAAAGGGCTTTGTGCCCTATCGATCATATCCTATTGATTCATATCTCAAGGATTTGATGCCACTAAGAAACGTATTGGCTTTGGCCATAACTGATATTTCGTGGTGCCATTTAGCTGTAAAACCACTCGGTTTAGAGGGTCCCGGGTCATAACCGTTTATTCTGCGGTGCCATTTGGCGGCAAAATTGCCGGTTAGAGGACATGTACCACGTCCTTAATGAAATAAGATTGTTTGAGAATGGATCATAGTGATATTTTTGACTAGGCATTAGCTCTATGTGAGCTGAAGTAAACTTTAATTTGTCCACCCCGACAAACTGTTGCGGAAGGTGGACGGATTTTGCTTTAAGTAGTTGATAGTGTTATTTTAATTTTAAATATTTTTGGATTTTGGAATTTCAAAATTGTGGTATTTTTAATTATTTGAAATGGACTCCTCCGGTTGTGATTTTTGCAATCAATACGGCCATCATCGGGGTGACATTAAAGTCACTTAAAAATATGTGAATTTTGTAGATGATCTTTGTCGACTCTGTTGAGTTATCGACAGAGGATCGAGTTTCGTTGGCTTTATTCCTTTTTTAGTGAATTCTCTTGATTATAGGCATTGAAAGACTAATATGAATGTACTAAAATAAATATATCGGTTGCCACAATCATATGTTTATTTAATGGTTCAAATCCTATCAACTCCTATTAATATGTATAGAAGGATCGGGTTCGAATTTGAATTCACTTATTGACCCGCGCAGTATCCCTATACGTCACGTGTGTACCAATAACACGCTCGTTGGGGCCTATGCGGGTGTTTGGGGGCATTTTATAGTTATTTTGTTGAACTTTATCGACTCCCATTTACTCGTTTAATGGATCGGGTTCGAATTTATTGACTTGCGCAGCATCTCTAGACGTCACGTGTGTTCCCACAATACGCTCGTCGGGGCCCATACGAGTGTTTGGGGGCATTTTATAGTTGTTTTGTTGAACCTTATCGATTCCCATTTACTCGCTTAGGAGGATCGGGTTCGAATTTATTGACCCCGCAGCATCCCTAGATGTCATATGTGTAACAATAACACGCTCGTCGGGGCCCTGCGGGTGTTTGGGGGCATTTTATAGTTGTTTTGTTGAACCTTATCGATTCCCATTTACTCGTTAAGGAGGATCGAGTTCAAATTTATTGACCCGCGCAGCATTCCTAGACGTCACGTTTGTACCAATAACACACACGCTGGGGTCTATGTGGGTGTTTGATTGTATATCCCCCTTTTAGTGTACATATGTGTATACAAACTACGTACATGTGCGGGGGGGTTCTTTGAAATATTTTAGTTGTGCAGGTAATTGCCATTTGAATACATAACATTTCATTGAGATCTTATATATGCCATCTCTCCGCTAATATGAGCTACTGGATCCGGTGGCGGTATATCTGGATGTTGTGAGGCATCTCATCATCTTGATGTTGACTTCCCTTTTTCTCATTCATCAGGGAGGGTCTTTCTTGAAATTCGTGGCCACTGCCTTGAAAGGGATTATTCTTAAGATCTTCAATGTAGTAGATTCGTTATTTCAGGTGTTTGTGAATGCCAGAGCTGTTTTCTTCCTAAGGATAGGACAAAAAGGAAATTTTGGAACACCAGTGAGTTTAGTTCTAATTTGTTCAAACATCCCTTTTCTTCTGCTAAGGGGTGTTCTTCTCCGTACACCGGGTTGCCTTTGTACCCGACGTACTGATGTAGACAAGAGATATAGGGAGCCTATATCTCTTGATCACAATAGACACACAAGAAGAAAACTGACACAATGAGTAGAACTTAAAAACAAACTTTATTAAATAAACGCAAACGACCCAAAACTTAACAAAAGATGCTAGGAGATTTAAAAGAAATAAAGAAATTTAAAAAGATGCATCGAATTTGTAGGTTAAATAAGTAAAGTGCATAGAACTAGCAAACCGATGGTCCACCACTGCAAGATTGTCCCAAATGCTTCCAAATCAACCAAGACACGACAC